AAAATGAGGTACAATGCTAGTGAAGGTAAGGTAATCTGTATTTTTCATGAGTTAGCAAAATGAGTTTAAGACTAGACTCCCTTTATAGTCTTTAAATTGTCTTAATAATTCATGTGAAGACTTTAAACTACCTTGTCTTTACTAGGATTTTTCCATGTACTAGGGAACTCAAGTTAACAAACTTCTTTTGCCTAGAGAGGATGTACCCTAAAAGATATGAATACAAGGACAGGAGGACAACCCTGGTAGGGAAACGTGCATGAGCGTTTGTCCCTTCCTGACACACCCAAACAAAAATAAAATCCATGAGCAGTCCCATTTGTGTCATCTCGTCAGGCTGCTTTTCTCATAGAATCAACAAACAAGTGAGTACCATAGTCAGATTAATGAAAGCAACAGAATGGGGCTGAATCCAATAACCAGAGCTAACTTTCGACTGGGTGACACCTGAAATTAACTAGCGCTGCACACAGAATGTGAGAACAGTGTGCTACTGTTTATATGGAGGTTGCTGGAACCTAGAACTTTCTTTTTCTAGAAGTAAGAATAGTGGCAGCCTCCCTAATTATGTATGGTAGGTTCCAGTTGTGTTCCTATGTTCTGAAGTTCATGCAAGTACTGCACTCCAAAGTAAAGTATTAACATGAAGTTCAGAAGATGGAATTCTGTATAGTTAGGTGAATTCTAGAATGCAGAGAGTAAGAACATAACATAAACCATCTTCAGTGACAGTTTATGGAACGTGAAGATTTTCAAGCACTTGTTTAATTACTCTAATCTTAGAATGTTATAGTTACATGCCCCCACTGCACACCAGACTTTTATTTTAAAAAGTTATTTCTTTACAGTTTTGATCCCATCACAATTTTTTGTCTTCTAACGTCAAGGTTTTGAAAAATTGAGGGGAAAAAGCCTAAAGATTTGTGAAAGCTTGATATAGATGGAACATGAACAATTTAAAATATAGTCCCTACAATTTCTATTTTTATAAAGCTGCTAGGAGACTACCACTAAATATTTTTCACTGTCTTGAGTATGGACTTCTTAAATATTGTGTAGTATGATTTGTTCAGTACATACATTATGGTTTTGAAACAATGAAATCCAGATACATCTGATAATGTCAGAATTAAGCTACCGTCTTTACAGGAACACTTAAAAGCCTCTGTCCTCATTGAACTTAATAGTGTAAAGTACAGGCAGTCCCCGGGTTACGTACAAGATAGGGACTGTAGGTTTGTTCTTAAGTTGAATTTGTATGTAAGTCGGAATTGGTACATATTGTAGGGGAAACTCTAGCCAAACATTTCTCCAGAGCTCAGTTTTATTCTCCTACACCTCACTTCCCTCAGTCCTTTATTCTCAAGCTAAGGTGTCTGCTGAGAAAAGCCGCTCCGCATCTCCCTGGTCTGCTGGGGGGGGAGGGTGCTAGCTTCGCGTCTCCCTGGTCTGCTGGGGGGAAGCAGCTAGTGTGGGGTTGCCTCACCCCGTTTGTAAGTAGGGATCCGATGTAAGTCATGTAACCCGGGGACTGCCTGTAATGTGACTTTTTAAAGACTAAGGTTGTTTGGAGGTGAGATAACAAGGAATGGTAGGAAATTGTTTAGTAAAATAAAAAGAACTTTAAAAATCTCATTCCCCAGTATCTTGTTTTATTATGATCCTCTAAACTTTCCAAAACCTGTTGTGTTGTCAGATGAATACACATGGGACATTTAGATGAAATTGGTTTAATCTTATGCAAAGAGAAAGGGAAAAAAGAATTGTGATCTTTAACTAAATGAGAGACTGCTGTATCTCCATAATTATTGTTTAAGTAAATAAAATGAACAAAAAGCGCTGCTCCTCTTTTGTAGCTTAATACAATTGCAGTTACTGCATGGTTACAAAGTGAGGTTTGTAAACATACTAGTTCGGTTTCCAGGCGTTTGCATCTAGAGGGGACACCCTTGAATATTAAGTCTGCTGTTTGGCATATGCGTTTGGAGTTTATAGCTGTGGCACTTAATAGTATAAACAGGGTTATCTAAATTACTCCAGTAGTCATTAATCAGATCAGAGAAGCAATTATTTGAAACTAGAATAACTTAACTTCAAGAAAAAACCCTTCCAAACTTAAAATGTTTCCCAGCCATCCAGCCTGCCTGCCTGTCTAGCTACGTGCTTCATGAATAACTGACCCCAGGAGAGGGGGCGTAATTCTTCTTAGCTGCCTGTGATTCTAACAAGCAGCTCCCATTGGCCAATGGGAATGTGCTGGGGATGGATTGGCTCCTGAAACTTCTCCCCTCCCTATGAGTTTTAAAACAGAAATGGAACCCTGTAGCCGCATTTCGGCATGGCATGTGGGGCAAGCTGGGGACTCTGCCTGGGGCTCCCCACTGCCTCTGTGGGCTGGATTCGGTGGCTTGGTGGGCCACATCTGGCCCTGGCCTAGGATCTCATGATACTAGAATAAAAACTCTTGCTGCCAGGAAAGTTCTGCTGTGCAAAACCATTAGCATAATTGGACTGCAGTTATTAAGGCTACAGGAAAGTTTTACTCTCTCCATCGCAGGCAACAGAGAAAATACAATGAGAAAAATAAGGGGAGAAGTGACTGATGTAAACCAAAGTGCTGGAAAGAAGTGATGGGGGTGGGGGGTTGATTGACCAAAACACAGACAGGATTAACAAAAAGGGGAGGAGACTTACTCTGTTGGTTTTAAAAAAAGCTGAAATAAGACTCCTCCCTATTTCTTGCACTCCCCTGTCCAATGTAATTTTCTTCAAATCTTGGGTCATATTTGTCGTGTAGCGGGTCCTTTTGACCACGGCCTCGCGCGTATTGCCCATACTGCCACACTAAAGCCCCTCACAAGAAAAACACAGGCCGCTGAGGCGGATCCAGAGACAGAGCTTGAAGTCCCTCGGGTGCTCAGCATAGTTCTCAGTAAACGGAACTGAACTTGGCAAGCACCTGCGCCAAAAAGATAAGAGTAGGCACACAAGCTATCCCATACACTAAGTTAACGAACACTAAAAAAACAGGACAAGATAGGAATAAGAGAAATGAGCTGTCATATACATCTGTTAACAAGCACTTGGAGCAGGGAAGCAAAAACATAGCTAGCTTTCACATGTGCCAGTCATGTCTGCACTGACCACAATGCCTTGAGGCAGACATCATATCACAAGGAAGGAATCCTAATATGGTACCAGATAGCAAATAACCCTACTATGGTACCGGATGTCAAAATTATAGTATAAATCACCCTGAGCCCTAAGCTCGGGGAGGTTCTGTATCAAAATAGAAGGCATGTATCGTCCAGCCTGGCTAAAGGGTTGATCACTCAAGGCCGCCTCCCACCCACCGAGTCACGAAAGGGTGTACGAATCCGGAGCATGCTACGCGTTGTTTTTTGTCTGTGTATCGTAATTGTCACTGGGTTTGTAAGTATTTCTTAATGTATTATTTATCAGCTTTGCAATAGTTAGCTGTATTGTATTAATCATATTGTATAATGGTATCACACTTAGGTCTAAATAAGAACTAGGAGTAGAATTGAGAGGTTAAGTGAATAGGCAAACTAATATTCTTTAATGTATGTTTTATTTGCATGCTACGTTGTCTTAAACAAATCGAAGACAGTAATTTAATATAATCAGATTGTAGTTAATAAAGTTTGTAATTGGTTAAGTACATTTAAGTTCGGGCTTTCCTCCTTCGCAGCTCCGGTCCTTTGCCACAAAACGCCACCCCTAGACAATCTTTCGAGCCTCTGGTTCATCAATATCTACGTGGAAAAGTTGCAGCAGTATTTTTTCAGATAGTAACTACCTTGGGTCAATACACATGTTGTCTTACATAAAAAGAACTAAGCCATTTTCATATCAACGTAATTCCATTTTGGCAGGAGTTACTTTGGTGCAGGGTTATATGGCTGAATCATTAATATTGGTACAACTACGCTGATTCAATCAAACCATGTCTACAGTAGGAGTGTGTTGCCAGCACACCACACCAGGAAACTCCTAGTATGGATGCAGCTTATAAGTGACAAAGCTGTGCTTTAACTAATGCAGCTTATTGCGTCACACACACATACACACTTCACCCAGAGAAACCTTGCATACCTTTAAAAGTATAGTTTTGCCAGTATTACTGGGTTTACATTAGCTGTTTTTACCAAAATATCTATATTGGTCGGAGATCACTCACCTTCACGTAACTCATGTAGCTCTGCCAGCAGAATTTTATAGATATAGCTTAAGCCCTTCTGCTGGTGTCCTTCACTGACATCAGTTTACACTTGTATTGATCTGTCTGGTTACCTGTTTGCACTGCAGTACTTTAGGGTCATCTGCACCAGATGTCACTTTCTCGAAGTGGTGCTTACAGATACCCAAGGGTCTGTTTATATAAGCTCAGAACAAGGTCCTGGACTGACTTTCTACAGTAACAATAGGCAAGCAGGCAAAGCCTATTGTCATATTCCCTTAAATAAATAATGTTGAAGACTGAAGAGATTGACAGACCAGTTGGGTTATTAGATTAGTTGCTGCTGAATCTAATTGAGCAGCATTCCTGTGAAATTATTTGCCATACACACTAAATGCATGGATACACATACTTCACAATGTGTATTTTGTTTTCATATTGTTAAAGGTTTAGGTAGAAAAAGATGGGAAATCGTATTTATCTTATGACTTAGGACATAAACAGGTCTTTGATTTTGATTAATTTGAATTCCACAAATCAGAAGCATATAAACTATTTTTAAATTGAAATCTATAATAATAATACTGCCAACTGAACATTAAATAACTTTTAGATATCAGTGTGCAAAAATAAATAAAACCTCCCATAGAAAAATACCTCAAAAGAATAATGTCTTTGGAGGTATTTCAGAAAAAAATACTAGGTAGATTTATGAGAAGATCAATTTTGTCTCATTTTGTTTTGGATACAAATATGAAGGGCTTGATTAATGCTTGTCTCGGAGTTAGTGGAACTATTTTTGAGAAGAAAGGTAGTAACCTTCCAAATGTACTCACTTAATTCACTTTAGGTGTTTTTTTGTTTTGTTTTGTTTTGTTTTGTATATACATGTGAAAGGAGAACTGCATGCCAAGCAGATTCCATTCAGGTCTGAAATATTCTCTCCTCCCCACCCTCACCCCCAGTCTTCTATTTGTATCTGATATTCAAGATCTTTGCAATTTGCTGGGGCAAAAAATAGAAGAGAATAGGAACATTAAAGAATAGAGATTTACTAAACTTCCCTTAAATTGTGCGTTTACAGTTTTAACAGTGTGTATACCTTATCACACCTGTAAGGAAGAGGTTAAGCAGCTGCTTTGGACACAGGAAGCCCCACCCTGCCACATCTACAAAGCATACACTGCTTGGAAGAGGTGCTCAGAAGAACAGTAGGGCAACAGACAGTGGAGGTGAAGTGACCTATTCTCTGAGTTCGTAAGAAGGAGCTCGCTGGAGCTCCAGAGGCCTGACTGTAGTGATGTGGCCAAACCCAAAGGAAGAGACCTGGGAATCACAGAAGGTCTTTCATTTCCAGTTCTTTAATGCCTTTTTTTTTTAAACACATTGGGAAACAGGAAACTTGTTGGACGTGATACAGAGAGGCAGTAATATAGCATTTTGGTGCAGGACTTAGGTGCTTATGTTGACCCTGAACCTTGTGGAGAAGGTGGGACTTGGGTTCCTCTACCAGCTGCTGGGAGTACTGAAAGCAGAAGCTGATCCATGATATGGATAGTTTAGGGGCAAGAAAGTCCATAGGATTGAAGAGTCAAGACCTCAACCCAGTATAAGACCTGAAGATCCTTGCCTAAACTGGAGGGCTCCTCCATTTATGGGACACCTCCAACTCCACCCAGCCCCACCCACAAATGAGTTGACACAAAGCATGTGGCCTGGCCTGTGGGCTGAGTCATGAAAAGGAACAAGCACTGCTGGATTAGAATGGCTGTCAACAGGGGCTCCAGGAAAGATGAAGCCCTACCTTGCCCTACCTGACCACTAGGTGGCACTTGCGGTGGGTGATCTCCTTTCTTCATGGGCTGACAAAATCAGGCAAATTTCAAAATGTTTTGTCCTTTATTCCTCTTGTGCATAGCTATAGCCTTTGTCCTTTCTGCATTGTAAGCTGTTGTCCCCTTTACTCAGGTACACAGGAAATACTGAGTTGTGATACCTGGAAACACTATGTAAATGTCTGTGTTCACTTTCTCAGATGCTGATTATTAACATCACTCTGTGCATGCCATTTTAGCTGTTTTGAGCTCCTTCAAACCTATCCTGTGAATACTGCTGCTATTAATGGGTTCAGTGTCTGCATGATCTAATTATTCAGAAATTCTCTCATTCCCTTCTTCCCCTTCTTAAAAAAATATAGGCACAGTAAATAATTTTCCAAACAAAAGAGCTGTTTGTTTAACCCAGTACAATGCCTAAAGGTGCTAACCTACAATATAGACTATTGTACTACAAAATGTTCTTGCCTACACCAGAAAAGCAATCAAAAGATGTTGGTATATTATAGATATGCATGTTTCTATTTATTAATCACCAAATGGATTTGTCTGTCAGTGCCTGTAATCCTTGGTGATGTATCCTTCATTTAAGTGGGTGCTTTAAATGTGTTTAAAGCCCCATGAACAAAGGGCTGAGGTGGGGTGCTATTCAGAATCCAGATCAGAATTTTCTTAAGGGGAATGGTTCATATGCTCCCGACATACTGTGAAAACCTGCAATAAATGTATAAGTAATATTCCCTCTATTCATTGTCACATGATTTGTATGGCAAGTTGGTAAATAAATAGGCAAGTTTTATGTTGAGATAAATGTATAAAGAGGGCAAACAGTGACTCCAGGTAGTCACTCTGTCACCTTGGTGCTGTGTGAGGGGGATATGCGACCACTGGCTAATATGGAATATACATTTTCAGTCTGTGCCAAAAGTAACAATGTGAACTCGTCTGGCAGCTTAAAAGCATCCCTGTTAAAGTTTTGAAACAAAAGCAAAATGCAACTTGTTCTTCGAGGAACGTCTCTGTGGGTGTTCCACTTTAGGTGCCTGAGTGCTGCTGCACTTCTTATCCGAGAATTTTAGGTAGCAGTACCTTGATTGGCTGTGCACATAGAGCAGCCAGTGCACAGCGTTTGAAACGGCTACTCCGCGTGTGCAGCCCACCATCCTTCTAGAGTCTTCTCTACTGCTGTCGGCTTTGGTCAGAACCCAGCAGTCTCCCTTGAGTGTGCATTAGTGTTGGCCTTTTTAGATAGTTCTTCATAGCAGGTTAGTGGGAGGGGGAGGGGGGTTTCCCTCAGTTAAATGGTTCATAGTTTAGTGTAGTTTGTTTACACATTTATTTTTTCATTAGGACAACTAGAGTGAGTTCTAGTTCTCAGCTTTTAAGTTCCCTATATTGCAGAAACTGCCTTTTTGGACATGTCTGGTTCGCCTGGCTTTAAAAGGTGTATAATCTGCAGGCTGTCCATTCCTGACAGACATGCCAAATGTGTCCACTGCTTGGGTGAGGGGCGTTCTACCTCTGAGTGCCCCCCTGCAAGAAACTCCCTTCAAAGACCAGGAAGGCCAGGGAGCTACAGTTAAAAATGATGATCCTTGAGAATATGGTTCAACCCGCTTCTGACCTGGAGTACACTACACTGCCCAGGCAACGTGGTGGTCTCTGAGAGAGTCGCTCCATAAGGTCCATCCCCCTAGGTCTCTGACAGGGTTCTGATGCCCAAGAAGAGATCCCATTCTTCTTCTGGGGCTGACTCCCCCTCGAGGAAACGCTCTCTGCAGAAGAAATCTGCTCCAGCACCGGCTGCTCCGAAGATGCCAGAAAAGGAGGCAGCGAGCAAGTACAGGGGCTAAGACTCTAAGGAGTAGACTTGGTCCTCTTCCAAGGCACCAGCTGAGGCAAAGAAAAAGCCTTTGACATCGGCACTGCCAGCACCAACTTTGGCGCTGACTAGACCATGCACGGCATCAGTACCAAGCATTTACCATGTCACCATCCATGGCACCATTTGCGCAATCGAAGTATCCAGTACCCTCGACGTGCACTAAGCAAGCAGCACCATTGGTGCATGTCAAGCACTCAGCACCAGTAGCTCAGCTTACATTGCCACAAATCACTCCAGTAGTTGTGCTACGACCTACTATGCTGGCACCATAAGCATTCACCACTAGCACTGACCTCATGGTTTCCTTGGTGCCAGGGACCCCGCTGTTCAGTACCAACGGCACCCCAAATACTTCCCTCTTTAGTCTGTCTTCTACTCCAGCGGGATCTTCTCCACCACTATCCAGTAATGAGGATGATGAGCCTCTGGAGGTTCACGCTCCAAGACACTCTTCCCTCAAGCCGAGCAAGCAGGCTCTCTAGTGGCAATGCCCACAGTGGCTGCCACCACCAATCCGTCCTAGCTGGCCTTATTGGGAGCCATGGGCTGCATATCTGGCACAGCAGCTGCCATAATCTACTCCAGCGCCCACCACCCAATTGCTTGATGAATCCATCTCCAAGGAAGAGGAGGATGCTAACGTAACAGGAGAGGAGTAAACACGTGATTCTCCTCCACCCACCCACATATCGTCCTTCTCTCTTGACAACATTATCATGCCCTCACCTCCAACAGCGGGGAATGATTTCAAAAGAGTAGCAGGCTCCCTGGAAATCCCACTAGGAAGCATGTGGGAGATCAGCATAAACTGACAAACATACTTCATGCCTCTCCACATGCCAAGCTTCCCTATGAACAACGCTTTGCTGGATCTCTAATTATATAGCTCTTTTGGTGAAATACACACATTTTTGATCAGTTGACAACCTTATCGAATTCCTCCCAGACAACAAAAGAGAGCAGTTGAGATCAAAAATCAATGAAGGTGGTCTAATCTCCCACACAGCTTTGCAGGCTGCACTAGACTCAGCCAATGTGGCAGCTAGATCCATCTTGGTTGCAGCAGTTATGAGACAGGCCTCGTGGCTGCAGCTCTCTGGGTTCCCTAGAGAGGTGCATTCTGCAGTTGAAGGTCTGCTCTTTGAAGGCACCAAGCTCTTAGCTGAGTCCACCAATGCCTTACTGCACACTTTGAAAGACTCACAAGCCACGCTAAAAATACTTGGCATCTATATCCCTGTCACAAAAAGAAAACCAGGAAGGTCATTTACATAGAGATACAGACTAACACCATTTAACCAACAACACAGGCAATATGATGACAAGCTTTGACCTCGCTAAAATAGGCATAGACGAGCATCTAACCAGACATCAGCCGCACAACCATCCACTTCGTCAGACCTTTTGAAGAGTTAGTCGAGGGTCTGACAGCGCCAGTATCTCCACAGCAGCAATCCACAACATTTGGCAACAGACTACCCTCATTTTATCTAGCATGGCACATCATCACTGACTGATGAGTCCTAGAAATTATTTAAACTGGTTACTATATCCTCTTTTCAGTTACCCTCACCTTCTTTTCCGTCCCTCTTCAGGGACCCTCTTATGAAGCAGTGCTCCTACAGAACCGGACCATCTCCTCCAATTAGGAGCCATAGAACACGTACCCCCAGAACACAGGGATAAGGGGTTCTACTCCCATTATTTTCTTACAACCAAAAAGAAGTGGATGGAGGCCTATCCTGGACCTTTGCAATCATTCAAACTCAATCATTCAAACTCAACGTTTCAGAATGGCAACCCTGGCCACCATCATTCCTGGCTTTCTACCCTCGACCTTCAGGATGTCTGTTTTCATATCTCCATATACCCAACACACAGACGCTTCCTCCGAGCCTTCATTTGAGAACTCCAATTTCAATACCGAATGCTGCCATTCGAACTCTCGACAACCCTACCAGTCTTTTTTCCAAGGTCCTAGCAGTGGTGGCAGCACACCTGGGGAAAATGGGAATTTCCATTTTCCAATACCTAGACGATGGCCTACTGAAAGGACCCACAGCACACAACACAGAACAGACAGTGCCCTATTCAGTATTTTGGGGCTCCAGATAAATCTTCAGAAATGCATGCTCATTCCCACTTAGAGTCTGGAATTCCCAGGGACACACCTAGCCTACCAACACAAAGGTTCTCAGCAATTGTGGACCTCATATCACTAGCACAAGGTAGTCCATGTATCCCAGCATGACACTGCCTTCAACTCCTGGGCCAAGTGGCAGCAGCCACGTTCATGGTACCATATGCTCGCCTCCATGTGAGACCATTGCAGACATAGCTATGCATTGCATACAGGCCACATATCCACCATATAAACAAACAGCTCACTATGCCCTCAGATAAAGAACTCTCTGTCCTGGTGGACCATCCATGGCAATATTTTCAAAGGAGTGCCCTTCCAATCACCACAGCCATCTGTAACAGTTACCACAGACGTCTCCCTGATAGAATGGGGAGCTCATCTAGACCACCACATCATCTAGGCATTGTGGTCACGAGAGAAGTCCAAACAACACATCAACTAGTTGGAACTCAGAGCCGTTTGCACTTTCTCCCTTCAATTCAGGACAGGACGGTGCAGGTAATGATGAACAGCCTCACCACAATATTTTATATAAACCGGCAGGGTAGGGCTTGATGCTACCCACTGTGCCAGAAAGTGGTCTGACTATGGAAGGGTGTATCCCACAAAACATTCACCTAATTGTAGCCTATCAGCCATGCAAAGAAAATGTGATGGCAGACAACCTCAGCAGGTACTTTCCACAGAACCATTAGTGGGAATTCAACCGTTCAGTGCTGGCTCTCCTATTCAGATGGTGGGGATTCCCAATGGAGGACTTGTTTGCAACCCAACTGAACACCCAATGCCTGATTATTGTCCAGGACAGGAAAAGGATGCATTGTCTAGAGGATGCATTCAACATAAAGTGGAAAGCACCCCTGCTTTATGCAGTCTCTCCGCTTCTATTTTTTCCACTTCTCAAAAAAAAAAAAAAAAAGGGTTAGGACAAGGCCAAAGTCATTCTCATAGCACCCAATTTGCCCAGAAAAACATGGTATCCGTACCTGCTACAAATGAGCATAGCTCCTCCGTGGCGCTTCTTGCTGGTGTCATCCTTGCTCATACAATAGAATGGGCAGCTCTAGCATCCCAGTGTACAGACCCTGCATCTCCAGGCATGGCTTCTGGCTGGCTGACTCCTCTCAAAGCTGCATGTCCTGCATCTGTACAGGAGGTATCATGAACTGCTGTAGACCCACTACACGAAAGACAAAAAAACATAAATGCCACCGATTCACAGTTTGCTGTTTTGAAGAGAACTGTGCAGCCTCCATCCACAGACCTCTCTCAGATTATCCAATACTTCCTGTGTCTGAAGCATTCAGTCTCTCCCTTAGCTCTATCAGGATGCAGCTGGCTGCAATAGCAATATTCTGTCCCCTCATAGACAGTCTCTCTGTCTTTGCACACCCATCAGTAGGGTTGCCAGATGGTTGAAACAAAAATACCACCCCCCCCCAAAAAAAAATGGGGAAAAAATTCTGTTGAAGGAAAAAAAGGGGGGAGGGAGACCAAAGTTGTTGAGCAAAAAGAAAAAGGACTCCAAGGCTTAAGAAAAAAAAATTAAAACAGCATATCCCGTTTAAGAGTGAGTGCAGGAATAGGAACAGGGGAGTGGATGAGCACTAAGACCCAGGGAATGCTTCCCTTGGTCAGCAGCCATTTTGTGTCGGCAGCCTTGCGGAACCAGGTAAGCATGGGGGCTGGGGGTGTTGGGAGCTGTGTAGGAGGGAGGCCAGGCGCTGAGCATTTGTAGGGTTGCCAGGTGCCCGGCATTTAGGCCTCCTGGCTGGGGAAAAATTCGGAAAATACTGGACACTTTAGGTGCCCGGTATTCTCTGAATTTTTTACCGGACAGGAGGCGAAAATGCCGGACTGTCCGAATGAATACCGGGCACCTGGCAACCCTACCCATCAGTTAAGCGCTTCCTCAGGGGCCTACACAATATATTTCCACCAATGAGACACTCAGCATGGGACTTAAACTTAGTATTAAAAGCAATAGCAGGCAAATCATTCAAGCCTCTGGCCATCTGCTCACTGCGTCATCTCTTGATGAAGGTTTCCTTTCTCATGGCAATTATATCAGCACCTAGAGTGAGTTAGGGGCTCTCTTGATGGACCCTCCTTATGCTATTTTTCATAAGGGTAAAGTAGTCTTTCATGTACACCCAACATTTCTCCCCAAAAGTACTTAACCTCATTTTATTGTAATGAACCAATTTACTTACCCATCTTCCATTGTAAGCTTCACAGGGACAGCAGGGAAACAGTCTTACATCCTTTAGACATCCACAGGGCAATGCACAAAACTCTTCCGTGCGTCTCCAAGGCTCTTTGTCTCAACCACAGAGAGGTCTCAGGGTCTACCTATTTCAAAACAGAAACTATTCAGATGGATCTCAGAATGCATACATCTTGCAAACGGGATCTTCCAACAGGAGCCCCAACTACTATACAGGCTCATTCCACAAGAGTGATGGTGACATCCACCGTCTTCCTCCAGGGTGCACCAATAGAGAAAATCTGAAGGGCCGCCACCTGGGTTCAGCACATACATTCACTAACCACTATGCCATCTAGACCTATTCCATGTCTGATACTCAGTTTGGGCAAACAGTATTTTCCATAACCAAGCCGAAGCTCCCTCCTCCAAGCACAATTGCTGCTTTGTAGTCACCTAATGTAGAGCACTACCATGACCTTCCTCGAAGAAGAAAATAAGGTTACTCTCCTGGTGCAGTAATTGAGGTTCTTCAAGATGGTTGTCCCTGTGGGTGCTCCACCACTGCTCTTCCTCCCCTCTGCTTCGGAATTTTCCATGTCTGGGGCAGAGAAGGAACTGAAGAAACTGCTCCATGTGCGCCGCCAACTGAGAGCATTGCTACCTAAATTCTCTGATTAGAAGCGCAGCGGTGCTCAGACACTTATGGTGTGGAGCACCCACAGAGACAATCATCCTGAAGAACCTCAATTACTATACCAGGTGAGTAACCTTCTTCTTCCCATTAAGGTTTATGGAGCACACGAAACACATGAGCCAACACATTCAGATACATTAAATCCTGTTGAAAGTGTATTGGTAAGTGGTTGCTGTGTAATATTCATATCAGGATGAATAAAAATCAGTTTGGAGAAAATCAGATTTTAACATTAATCTAATATTAAAATTTAATTTAGAAGTGTGTAGCTTTAAGATCTGTCAAGAGTATGATCAAAAGTTAAGATGACTAAACCATTAGTAATTTAAATAGAGCAAGTTTTGTTTGCTGAATCAGTTGTCATGCTCCGAATATTTAGGCAGTCATCACAGCTGATGCTTCCACAATATAACAGCCTTCTTGAAAACATTTAATTGAAAAATCAAATTGACTTGGATGAGAATGGTGCTGCATGGATTGGAAACTGGATGAAAGTGCATACAAATGGTAATGACAAGCAGCTACATGTCAGGCTGGAGAAGTTTTTATAGTAGCATGTTGCAGGTATCTGCATTGGGATCTTGTTTAATATGTTCATTAATTATGTGGAAGATAGGATAAACTGTAGGTTAATTAAATCTGCAAATGATATTCAACAACAAGCATTGATGAGGGCAGCAATAAAAGGCCTGGATATGCTGAAAGTATTTGCAGGAAATTAGATCAGATGAAGCATGGACAAATTCAAGTTAGTGTATGAAGAGGAAAGATCATCAAAATGTAAAGGCAAAGGACTCTTTGAAGTAGTAGTGGATAGCAAATTGAGATATGACTTTGAGGTGTGACATGGCAACAAGAAAAGCTTAAGATAACTTAAGATGCTTTTATATACCCATCTCAGTTTGCAAGTCTTTGAATATACTTAAATGACTCCAAGTCATATTCTGTCCCAGCCACTGTCATGTACATGATAGCATTTATTGTCTGTATAACAAATCTACATTGGATCACAGAGAAACACAATCACAGTCATGAAAGGTAGGAGGCTTAATAAGTACATGCGAGTCATGCAAGAATAACAAGCCTCCACCCAATGGGAACCAACCAGAAATAAATATCCCATAACTGTTTATTCCAGCTATAGGACTCAAGACATGGGCTGTCCAAAGAAGGAGAAAAATTGGTGCTGACTGTAAGCCAGAGTAACCACAGAGATGTAGTTATGTGCTGAAAAATCCTAACCATAAGATCGGGAACTGGTGTGGGACTTGGGAGAAATGAGTTCTGTTACCAGCCAGGGATGTAAATGTCTAACTGGTTAATCAGTAAACCTAACCAGTACTGGGTGAGGCTTACAGGTGGAGTTAACCAGTAATGGCTGGAGCAGCTCCCCGCCTTCTGTAGGCAGTGGGCTATTCCAGACCCAAAGGGATCCACCAGGGACAGAGGCTGCTCCAGCGTCTGGAACAACCCCTGCCTGCAGTAAGCCCAGGCACCCTGCAGGCTAGTGTCCTGGCCAGAGCATCCCCTGTCTGGGGGGAACTGATCCAGTTGCAATGGTCTGAGTTGCAGTGGGGGAGGTCTAGGTTGGATATTAGGAAAACTATTTCACTAGGAGGGTGGTGAAGCACATGAATAGATTACCTAGGGAAGTGGTGGAATCTCCATCTTAGAGGTGTTTGACAAAATCCTGGCTGGAGTGATTTATTTGGGATTGGTCCCTGCTTTGAGTGAGAGGTTGGAGTAGATGACCTCCTGAGGACTTTTTCCAATCCTAATCTTTTATGATTCTATGAATTGATCTTTCTGCACTTCAGTTCTCTAAACAGGAGTAACACCTCAGATGGATGTAAATTCACGGCTCTGTTCTGGGAGCATGTAAGTGCTTACATGGAGTTGTAATGCACAGAATCTGAATCTGCAGTGCAGCCTTAACTCGTGTACAATTCTGTGGGAGTCAATGGGACTACTCCTATTTGAGAACGAGTTATAAAATCATGCTCTAGAGATCGTATCCCAATTTTGCTTTCAAAACTGAGCTTTACTGATTTCAAACATATGAAGTACAGAGTCAAAAATACTCTGGATCAAACAAAAATAATGCATGCATGCTTTCCCTGTCTTAGCATATGTATCCAATTTCAATTAAAAGGAGTAGTTAATACATGTCTCTGATGTATTCTTAGTGGTGTGGGGTGATTATTTAACATAATGGAAGCTTTGAGATTGCATTTCAAGAACAATTAGTACGTGGCTGCTAGCACATTATTTAACTTTGGCCTAAAATCCTTGTGGACTGTGCAGCATTTTCAGCTCACCCTTGTGAGATCATGCGAGATACATCTTAATAGGTGATGTTGCAAAATCTTCAGTGATTTTTTTTTTTTACCCCAAAGCAGTGGAAAATTAATGCTCGGAAGCTGAAAAATATCAGTTAACAACTTTACTCTTGTATTGATCTCTCACCTGTGTTTCAAAAGAAAGAAAAAGCGGGTTTTTTTAAAACCAGGATTACTTTCTCATATCTTGTATTTTAAAAAAAAATGTATGGCAGGCTAAAGTCTTCAAGCTCTACTTCTGCCTGCGCTCCCTGGCAGTATCTTTTTATAGTGAAAGGTCTATAAAATACAGAGCTTGGAAATGAAATTACTGATTGTCACGCACTGTTCCTATAAAGATCAAAGCTGAGACTGTTAATGCAACTATTGCTATTCATGAGTTTCATAGCCGTGCAAGTTTCAGGTGAATTATAAATGCTTGTTTAATCACTTAACAATGGGCCATTGGAGTCCCATCTAGGAATTATGCATATAGCTCTCACATTTTTAAATTAAAACAAATTCCTACTGTTTTTACAAGAAATTAATTCTGTGGTAACATTCTAGGTTGTAGCAGCTTGGAATTTCCAAATCCTCTTTTATGCAAGGAACTGTCAAGTGAGGAATATTTTCATTTTATTCTTCACCCATCCAGGTACATACTTCTGCAATAGCCTGGCTGTCACTGGAAATGGTATAGAAGCAAATAGCTTACCTTCTACTCGGTTTCTTTTTTGTATCTCTGATTAGAATACACATACCTATTGTTAATAATTTGGGCTAAACATATTTTTACTTTTGGTTTACAAAAAGATTCCAGATTACTATAGGAAACAGATACTCAACTTATTACAGTAGAGTATTTTTGGAGAAAAATACTCCACAAGACAAAACTGTGTTTTCCTTTAAGACAAAAGCTTTAGAGAGACCTTGTGCTGTGCCCTAAACATACGCTGTCAGATTGGCAAAGGGACTCAGTGTAGGGGCTTAGATTTCAGGCAGTAGTATTTGTATTTTACCTTTAAGTTCCTGGGAATGGAGACTCTACAGATGACTCTTCATCTTGGTTAGGGGGTTATATGCAACTCCAGAGTGCTGCTGGGGCATACCCATGAAATATAAGGTCACCTGCTAGCCTATGTGCTTTGATGGAATATCTTCCCAGCTCAGCCTTTCTTTTCTAAGGCTGGCCAGCTATTACATTTTATGACCTTTTTGTCTATTAGGTACAATGTACCTTTCACCCATTGTCATTCTGCTTGTCAGGGGAGAATAGGTTATTTGGGGCAGGAGAAGAATACCCCCACACTGGTGTGAGGATCAGGATTCAAGCAGGGTGTGTGAATCCTTGCTGCTCTGGTTTTTTTTTTTTTTCCTTTTACATAAACTTTTTCAGATTGTTTTCTCTAAAAGATCTTGGTCTTATAAACTACACAACTAACTGCATTCAGTCCAGAAATGTGGGAAAACCCTGTGTTGCTGCATATAAAACTCTCTGCATTTAGTACTATAAAAGGGAGAGTTTTAAGTGCAAGGGCTTGGGAGAATTTTTCATTGGCTATAAAAGCGTGCATGGCAAGCTGAATTAGTAAAAGCAAACAGGTGCTTTTAGTTGCCTGGTTAATACATTCAACTTTTCTCTTAAGATATCAATTACCTAGTTTTAAACAGGATTTGTTTAGTTGGTTCTTTTTGTTTTGGTTGTTTTGTCAAATTTTGTTACTAAATTGCCTGTTTTGGCACCTGATACTTCCATTTGTAGAAGTTCTGTTCAGTCGTTGTCATGCAGGAGCATTTTGGCAAGTCACAGTGATGTTTACTTTTGCTGTTTCAGGTGCCGGCATATTACTTTTTATAAGATAAACTGAACAATTGAGAATTCTCAAGAATTTGACATCAGAGATTGTACAGATTCAGAAATCAAAAGCATACCTTTCCAGCTAGATCTTCTGCTACTGTAAATTGGTTCAGCACCACTAAAGCCAGTGCCAATATAAAACTAGCGGAGGTCTAGTCTGCGTATTAGCAATGATGTCTTGTGACAGCACTGCATACCTGCATTTTCCTGCTTTCTTTTGATGTATAGATGCTAAGGCTAGAAGGAGACACTGTGGTAATTTACTCTTGTCTA